GAGGGGCTTAGAACAGAGGATGCCAGAGCTCGGAGGGGCTTAGAACAGAGGATGCCAGAGCTTGCAGGGGCTTAGAACAGAGGATGCCAGAGCTCGGAGGGGCTTAGAACAGAGCTTAGAACAGAGGAGTCAGCTGGACTGGGGTGGGGCTTATAACCTAGACTATCATGCTAGCATAACGTCAGAGCTGGAAATAAATTTGGGACATAGAATGCTAGATCTGGAAGGGACCTTAGAACAGAGGATTTAGAGCCCAAAGCAACATTAATGATCAATTGCGTTTTTACATTCATGGCCTCAGGGAAATCATATCACCTCTCTAGGTTTTAGTTTTCTAATGCTGAATGAGAGACTTGGACTGATATCAAGGAATCATAGACCTCGAAGGCCATGGAGTCGAACTCTTTCCTTTGATACTAGGTGACTAAAATCTAGAGAGGTGACATGGTTCTTTCGGGCAGCTATGAGTACAGTGGGTAGATTTCTGGACCTGAAGTCAGGAAGCCTTGAGTTCAGATACAACCTCAGACAGTGACAGCTGTGTGACCCTAGGCAGTCACCTAACTGCTGTCTGCTTCAGTTTCCCCATTAGTAAAATGTGGGTAATAATAACACTTCCCTCCTATGGTTGTTGTTAACATCAAATGAGGTAACCTTTGTAAGGCATTTTGCAAACCTTAAAGCACTTATATAATGTTAACTATTCTGTGAGGTCCAGGGGTTAGAACCCGCCTGGCATGGGGTTGTGAGCCATTGACAGGCAAGGCTGGCCCCAAATTTGGTAACTTCTGGGGAGAATCAGGGTCTGGCTGATTGGGGGTCTTTACCACGGGGCAGGATAAAGAGAGACAGTCCTGTGTGTGCCTACAAGTGCCCTTTAAAAGAAGATGACTCTGCTCTCCCATAACTGACCTGAAAACCAGCTGAATTAGAGTTCTCCTCACCTTCCTCCTGGGCTTTGTAGAAATCTTGCTCTACTGTGAGGTGTTATTCCAGGCTTGATTTCTGCCCAGAAGCCCATTTCCTCTCTCCCTTCCTCCCTCTTCTTTCTCTTCCCTGACTCCCTCCTGTCTCTGCCGTCTAAGCCATCAGTGACTTCCAGTGAATTACATTGGAAACAAGGGGATGGACTGAAGCTGCATGGGGGCGGGGTGGAACTTTGCCATGGAGACAGACTTGCGCTGGCAGAGCTTCCCAAAGGAGGATTGTGAGTCATTCTTTCCTGTCTGGGTTCAAGGCGGAGAAACGCTTTTCAGAAGCACATATCCTTGAACGGATGAGGCCTTGGCACCTTGCTGGACTGGCAGAGGAACCGGGTGACCAGCAGGCCAGGCAGGCAGGGGACATGGATTCATTTTTTTGTAAGAATCCCAATGTATTGGATGACCTTATGCAAGTTGTTTGACCTCTCTGTGCCTCAGTTCCCCCATCTATGCAATAGGTTAGTAAACCCATCTAACCTGGTCAGGTATTTATTATAAGGAATGCAATGCAATTTTAATAATACAATGTGTAAAGCAGTTTCAGCAGCCTCTTCACAGTCTTGGGAGAAGGAGGGACGGGAAAGTTTGTCATTTTACAGATGGTTAGGGGTGGTGAGGGGGTGGCGGTTCAGAGTGAATCATTCAAGGTTATACAGCAAGTCAGTGGATAAGCAATGAGCAGGACGCGGGTCCAGAATTGTATGTCCTGGCCATGACATCCAAACCTACAATTCTTTGAGCAAAGAGTAATAGGGGGGGTTGGGGGGAGCTCGGAACAGAGAATATCAGAATGGGGAGGGAGCTTAGAACAGGAAATGTCAGAGCTGGGAGGACCCTTAGAACAG